ATCGCAACTGTGGACACGATGTACAGAAGGATTGAAACAATTCTGTACATGGGCCATTCTTAATAGTCTAAAAATGTTCTTACCACGATACACGTCTGTACCAAACCGAAATGGCCTGTACCGAACGGTTCGGTACGATTATGTGTATTGTTACACCCCTAGTGGCCATTCATTGTTATTAAGTCTTCTTCCCCTCTTGGATGGATGATAGGGCAGGCTGATTACATTTTTCATAATAACAACATTTCTAAGATTCCAAACATTCATCTCCTATAATAATTGCTGATTCTATAGTTAATAGTAATCTACTTCAATTAGAGTTGCAATCAATGCAGTTTTAACAAATCACACAAGACACTTGTGTGTCAACATTCCTTATGCCACAGGAAAGAATATTTCATTCAAAATGTTGTGGCAATAATGATTGATAGGCCTACAGTAATAGCCCTATCACTATCCAATTGAAAAAGGAAATAAAAAGGGAATCATGGGTGAACAATTCTGTTCTACAAAGCTTCAGTTACTGCAGGATCATTTTTGCTTTGAGTATTTGAGAATGATGGCTTACAGATATTTATTATCCTAGCTTCAGTTAAACTAGTATTACAATTTTATTTCCAGGTAGTGCAGGTCCTTCGCCAAAGAGATTAGGTTCAAAAAGTGACATCCATGGTTCTTCAGCAATTCTACCTGAAGTGTGCTTGATCTGCAAGAAAAGGGACAGTTTTATTACTGTAAAGGGAAAGAGAGTGAAGGATAAATTAGCCAAAGCAGAAACAGAAAGTTGTGGTAAGTCTATATTTTATTTTGGTAAAATAAGTCTCTTTGGTGAGAGTTAGCTGGAGTCACTGGCACTTTCAGTCTCTTATTCTTATTCACTCAGGTATTTCTTTTTTTTAACATTTTGATTTAACTTGACAGATAGGTAGCCTATCCAATACCCAAGTGTACTGCACCTCCCCTTGGCATGTCACAAATCTCATTTAAGTCATCTTTTGAAGGGGATTTCCCATTTGTGAGATAGATAATCTATTTTAGGTAGGGGTTTCCACATATTGAGGTCACAAAATTATCACTCTGTTGTACACAATAGGATGGTTACAACATTAACCCTCATTTTCTGTGCAAGGTGAAACCAGTACTCTGTTTGCGTATCTTGCTATTAGTCTACATGTAATGAAACTGACGGGTAACACAATAGTTATTTATTCAATGGAAAATAGCAATGATATTACTTTTACATTATGCATAAAGTAGGCCCTGCTCTGGCAATTTATGTTGTAATTGAACGTATTTGAATTTTCATGACATTTACCAGGACCACTACGTGATGCTGCAGAACTGAAGCATGATGAATCCATTCTGCTTCAGATTCGCAAAAAAGATTGTGTAGCAGTGGAGGCCAGATACCAGTACAACTGCTATAAAGCATACACTCGCTTCGTTTCCAAGGATCGACCTGAAGCAGTGAGGTATGTAATATCTCTGTGGAAACACTTTTATAGCAACATCCTCATCATTTTTGTGAAGTGAATTTAGACCAGTTGAATTCGAATTTTCAGAGCAAAAATTCTATGCAATATTTTAATTTGAATGTAAACCTTGAATCCTCATAGTAAATTTGTACATGTAGTCTTTATCCTAGTTTGCGTTTAATTTTCTTAGATATTGCTTTAATTTCTGACTGGGCAGTTTTGTTGAGAACTAATTTACATTGTCTGATGCATTTTACAGTGGGAGAAGGTCTTCTGTGATTCTGTGATTGTCAAGAGGATTTTGGACAACCAAGAAATGATTCTCATGTCCAGCCTTCTAAAGACCTTCAAGAAAAGTGTTCAGAAGCACGAGTCATTGGATGCCTCAAGTTTACAGGTACAGTGTTAAGATTACATAATAACAATTGAAGTGAACGACCAGGCCATTTTCAACAAAACTGTGCATTTGCCTTCAGGGCTGTGCATGTACAGCCTATAAAGCATCTCAACTGTTCAAAGGGATGCACATTTCCACAAAAAGTAAATGTCAATTTGTGATATCTTAAAAACAATATCTGATCATTCAAGGCATTTCAGTTGGTGTACATACGTTTATAGCAGTGCTATCTTTTGAAGTCTTATGAACCATCATACAATGCACTAGTTGTAAACCACACCTGCCGGTACTTTTTAATTTCAGGTCTGACCAGCTGAAGTTGAGGATTAAAGCCGATTTTCCTCAGATTACCTTTCACCGACCTAGACTGAGAAATAAGAGTGAACTTGTGTATGGATACAGGAGAATGTGCTACAAAGCGGTGCAGCTGTAAATCTACAAATCTGAGTTGTACATACTTATGTGGGTGCAAGAACTGTCACAATGATTCCAGAACAGCGAGCCAAGAGGACATTCCTGATGATAGTGAGGACAGGGATGCTGATTATTCAGTTTAGATCTAAAGAAATTGACACAGTAAGTGAATGTAAATTGGATATCTCTTTCATTTTTGACTGACCAATTGACATTGTGACCAAAGTAAATTAAATGTAGCACCCCCTGAAAATGAATTGTGACATGTGTAATTCATACTTGATGTGATTCTAAATTAGAAATATTTATGATTTATTGTCTGGATAAATAGGTTTTGTTTTTGAACTTGAATAATTAAAGAATGTTTGGAACTTATTTGGAGCAATTTGTCATTCATTTTTGGTCATAAAATGTAATCCAAAGTGTTGTATGTGAAGAATTAGGTCTCCTTGTGTGCTTATTTCAATGACTTTAAAAAAAACAAAAATTCTTCACAACTAGCACTCCTATCCACTTAATGTTCAACATATTGAACATTTTTGGGATTGTTTACATAAGTGTCAAGTTTGAAGTGTATGGCCTTACTGCTTTCTGAGATAATTGGAGTGAAAAATGCTATTAGAGGCTAAAATGTCCAATTCTTCATGAATTTTCCAAATTTGGAAGATGATAACTCAAAATCTGCAGGGAGCCGACTTGTGGAACTTTTTTTGGAAGATGTTCAACTATTTTACTTGATAAAAACCACAATTAAAAGTATTTCCCAGGATATTGGAACGGAAGTCAATTTCTAGGCACTTTCTGAGAGCTAGCTTATGGCCTAACAGTCGTAAAGCAAGATGAGAGCGTTTCTTCAAGATCATTAAATTAGTAAGTTTTGCGGAATGCACGTCTGGGATAGGCAAGACACTAAACGTTCATTCTCGCTGTCTCCTGAAGGGGGCACTGCGTCCATGTGCGCCGCCATCACATTGAACATGGTGAACCTCTTCAGGTCCTGGTAGGTCTTTAGGGACACAAAGACACACACGATGGTGTGGCCGTACATGCTGCCCAGAGCAAGCTGCCTGTGCGCCGTCCGGAATAATAATAATAATAATAATAATAATAATACTTTATTAATCCCTTACAGAGAAATTCCATTCACAGTTACATCCG